GCAAAAATCTGAAATGTGCTAGTCTTCCACGCAAATAACGAAATGTGCTAGTCTTCCACGCAAAAATCTGAAATGTGCTAGTCTTCCACGCGATTAGTGAAATGTGCTAGTCTTCCACGCGAGAATCTGAAATGTGCTACTTTTCGACGCGAATAATGAAATGTGCTAGTCTTCGACGCGAATAGTGAAACGTGCTAGTCTTCCACGGTAATTTGAGATGTGCTACTCTTCGTTGGGAGCGACGATATGTACTTTGTTAACTATGTTATATGTATGTACTAGCCGACCCGGCGAACTTCGTCCCACCCATAACTAGATTTTTAATTTAATCGTTTTGGTCTAACATTTTCTCCAACAGACTACGATTTCCAATGGCGAATTCATCGGCTAAGATTGTGGTTTGGTGGTCGTTTGCCGCCTTAAATAAACTAACGAAAGTGTTATGTCCATGAAGAAGGTCGCCGGCGGCAACAAAGATCCGGATCTATAGTGAATTTTCCCTAGAAACATTATCTTATAGTTGGTGACAATTTCAAAATGGATTCGTATCCTTGTTCGACAGAAACCCAATATACATACTTACATAGACTGAGATGAAATAACTTAAAAGCTAGTTTCACGAACCAACAACTTTAGAAAGCAATTTAAGGGAAAAATTGTTTTTTTTCTGTCAGGTTCTATATTAAATTCAATTAAAAAATTAAATCTTCACTAAATTGCTTTTATTAAACTGGCTTTTAAGGTATTTCGACAGGTAGTGGTTTGAGATTTACCACTGCACAAATAAACCCTGGTATGTACGAATGAAGCTTTAACGCATAATAATATTGGCAAATCACACCCAGTACACGAGAGTTCGATATACTCAATGGTGCAACAGGTCGATTTAGTCTGACATTCGCGGCACCTTTTCTCACTTGGCGATTTTTAGTAATAACTCGACCTCAGCATCACCTCACATCTCTTTTTTGCAATTGGACTTCCTTTACCGTTTCCAATACATGTCTTGAATATTCGTCAAATCGGATCATAAAAAAAGATTTTTAGTAGTAACTCAACTCCAGCGCCAACTGGCGGGTTAAATTGTGAAACTAAACTATCCAGAGACTCACTCAAACACACACACAACTTTTTTGAAATCCCTCCAGCCATTTAGGATTTCACTCACAAACATACCTACAGAAGTATTATATACACATTCAAAGATAAGGAAAAGTCAGTACGTTTGTATTTTGCCATGCCCTCTTTTCCAAGAGCCTACTTTTCTCCATGAGTATGGGATTGATTTCATATATCTCCATACGAAGTTCCAGTACTATACCATGAACACTTCCAGAGATATGCAGTATGAAATCCGGCTTGTATAGTAGGTGCCACGCCCCCTTTTTCAATAGCTCCATATTTTCTCAATGACTATGCGATTAATTTTATATATCTCCACACCCAGTTCCAGTACTCTACAAACAACAATTCTAGAGATATGCAATAAGAAAAATTCGACTTGTTTGGGAGGTGCCACGCTGGTATAAAGTTCCAGTACTCTCCCATAAACACTTCCAGAGATACCTATTATGAAAAATTCGGTTTATATGGGAGGTGCCACGCTCCATTTTCAAATAGTCCGAAATTTTATTCATGAGTATGCGATTGATTTCTACTCTACCATGAACATTTCCAGAGATATACAGTATGAAAAATTCGGTTTGTATATTCCAATTTTTCTCCATGAGTATGTGATTGATTTCATATATTTCCGTACCAAGTTCAAAAATTTCTCCAATATTTCTCAAGAGTATGCGATTGATTTCATATACATAGTATCCCCATACTAAGTTCCAGTACTCTAGTATGAACACTTCGGGGTTCGGTGAAAATTCGGTTTATATGGGAGGTGCCACGCTCCCTTTTCAAATAGTCCGAATTTTTCTTCATGAGTATGCGATTGATTTCATATATCTCCGCACCCAGTTCCAGTGCTGTACCATGAACACTTCCAGAGAAATGCGGTATGCAAAATTCGTATTTTATGGGAGGGCCCACGCGCTTTTACAATAGCTCAAATTTTTCTCAAGAGTATGCGATTGATTTCATATACATAGTACCTCCATACCAACCCACCAAACAATTTGTGTTGCCGGTAATAAGAAAACGTGTCGCCCTCGGAAACAAATTTATTGCCGGTAATATTGCCATCGAATCGATTTCCTATTACCGGTCGCTCTAAAACGTCCGCCGAAGGCAACTCGCCTGGGCGAGTCGTTTTCTTATTACCTGAATGAGTCCTTTTCTTATCGCTTCAGGCGATATTTGGAATAATTTTATTCTTTTTAATACTTCATTTATTTTTTTGTATACCAAATCGCAACTTACAATCGGAATTAATTCATTTTCTCGCTGTGAGACTTCCTATTTTATCAATCTTGTCCTTGGGCATAATTTAGATGCTTTTGGCCAATACTATTGACGCCATATTCATAAGTTTCGGAATTTTTGAGAACTTTTTTATTCAAAATTGACATGAACGAAGTGATGTTGCCGATTTGTCACCACAGCAATAAATCGGTGAGTCGCCAATTTGTTGCCATTGACGATTGTTGCCTATTTCTCATGTTTTGCATGGTGGGAAGTTCCAGTACTTTACCATGAACATTTCCAGAGATATACAGTGTCAAAACTTCGGTTGTATATGAGGTGCCACGCCCTTTTCCAATAGCTCCAATTTTTCTCCATGAATATGTGATTGATTTCATATATTTTCGTACCAAGTTGAAAAATTTTACCATGAACGCTTCCACTACTTACTTTAGTTAAGATTAGTTAGCCAAGGATTAGAGACATGAGCCTCTTAAAAGCAATAAGGGATTTGATTTTTTTTTAATTTTGAGTTGCGTCGTTATTTCGGAGGACCATCGGCATGTGAATTCATATAATTCGGTAATGACATAAATTCGAGTAAAAATACGATTTTTAGTTACATATACATATTATTTTTCCTGTTATCAATACATATTTTGAATCTGAGGATAATCGGACCATAAACCCGATTTTTAGTAATAACTCGACTCCAACGCCACCTGGAGGCTCTTTTTTTTGCAATGGTATTGTTTTTCCAATTGTCAATACATATCTCGAATATGAGACGAATCGGACCATAAACACGATTTTTAGTAATAACTCGACTCTAACGCCACCTGGCGGCTCTTTTTTTGCAATGGTATTGTTTTTCCTATTGTCAATACACATCTCAAATATGAGGCAAATCGGACCATAAATACGGGTTTTACTAATAACTCGACTCCAGCCCCACCTAGCGGCAGTTTTAATAGTTATTCTGCTATTCGGAAGGCAGGCAAATTCAAGAAATAAATGTCATAAAAATCGGCCTTTCTTGAGTTATAAATGGTGTAACTAACACGACTTTGTTTTATATATATAGATGAATGCACACATATTATTAATTGCGATTTTAAGCCTAATTGTTTGAGTTTTTATGCTTTGTATCGAATAAACAGACTCCCTGATGAAGGCGGAAAAGACGCTGAAATGCGTAGAAGGATAAAAGAAAACTCTGTTTTGCTTTTTATTTGACCGGCCGAATTATTTAAAAATTTGAATTTTGTGAGAAAACGTAATCAAAGCTTGAACAATTTATACAGTTGGTGTTTAGGCGTGACTGCTAACACCAGGCGCCTAAATACATGTTTCCTTTGTGCAATTTATGAAATTTTCAAACAGGCACTTCTCACCGGCCATGTAATTGAATTTTCTTAAGTTTTAATTAGATGGCACTTCAAAGTATGCTCTGCCTAGTCTGATGCATTCTCCGGACACTGCTTCCGGAGTTTTCTGCGGACTCTGCATGGCTTACAACCAGGTGGTAATAGTTGGTTACCACTAGCCACAGTGCCTACCCACTACTTTTTGGGCCAATAAATATTTTTTTATGAATGCATGCAGACATACTGGTCTCCCCACTCACTGAGTTATTGAGTTGGTATACCAAAAGGCAGATGGAAAGAGACATATCTTCGCTATTTTGGGAGGTTTAGTCCAGGGAACCAAAATAACAGTTATCACATTTTTCAAAAATAAAAACGTCATGGGCAAAATATTGTTGTAGATAAGATTTTTCAAAGTTCTTGAGGTCCGTAGGACTTTAGTCTTCTGTTAGGCTGAACATATTCAAGCATATTAATTGTATGATGAAATCTCCAAAAACGTAAATTTTGAATTACATTTCTTTATTATTAGACGTGCGATATAAGGATTTAAAACAAAATCTGAATTTGATCTTCGGTAACTCCAGTAGTTTTCGTTTGCCATCAAAAAATTATACCGTTATACTGGTTACAAAAATCTCTATCGACGCCCCGGGTCAAAATTTGTCGCCCGGTTATCGTAATCATGCCCTAAAAGGTGTTGCATATATGCCCCGATGTCTGAACTTGGCATCCTTGCGAAACTGATACGGCTGTGTAAAATGACGTGATTTCTTTCATCTGATGCTGGAAAATAACACTGCAGAACTGAACCGCTCAGGAACAACTTTACAAGAGCGTGCCATTTCTGGCGGTAATAAGAACCGCGAAGTCTGTTCTGCCCTTTCCAAGTTGGATAAGAAAGCAAAGCGATTGAGTCTGGTGGTCAACGAGGACAAGACGAAGTATCTCCTGTCATAAAACAAACAGTCAACGCATTCGCGCCTTAGCACTCACGTCACTGTTGACAGATATAATTTCGAGAGAGTAGAGAATTTTTTTTACTTGGGAACCATTAACGCCGATAACAATGTCAGCAGAATCACTCTTGCCAACAAGTGCTACCTTGGGATGGGTAGTTAATTCAGGAGTAAAGTCCTCTCCTTACATACGAAAACCACACTCAATAAGTCAGTCATCATGCATTTGTACTGAAATCCAAATCAAGTTTTGCACAGCTGATTGTTAGACCAATAAATATTTTCCCGCCCGGCAAAACAAATTTTATTTTTAACACGATTGTACCGGTGCGAAAGGTTACTGGTATGTCTCGAATATGCCTAAAATAGCTGCTGATATTAAACGCTTTCTTCTAAATCTGCGCTCTGCCAGGGCAAAATGTCCATACACAATTATGAACAAACAATTATGCTATTAGGCGGTTACAGTGGCTAGGGCAAAAATGGTATATTTTCATGTTTTTGGAAATATTTATGTGTTCGATACATACCTTCCAATGTTTTTGAATGCATTTATTCGTTCAAAGGAACCATATCCTTGCCTTGGAGTGTAAAAACCACGTTTGCCTGGAGAATAAAATAGTGGATCACTGTCTTCAATTTGACACTGCTCCAGTAACACAACAGGTATCATTTTCTTCTGGGTTTGGGTTGACGCATTATTTGCATCTGATTTTTGTTTATAAGCTATTATGTCGAGTGCTTCGTTAATTTTTTGCCGCAAAGTATCTTCAGAGGACAAAATAGATAGTAATTGTGGGGTCGGGATTTCAAGCAGCATGCCAGTTATTTTAGACGCGTTTGTAGGATTAATAGAATATATCTGAAAATATGTGAAATAAAAACACCGTTAAAATGAACCGATATTATACATAAATATGTATACATTACTTAGTACAGTGACCCAAATAAAAATTGGGACGCGACATTTGAGCAAGTTTTGCCATTAGACCATTAAATTTTAGTATAATAAAGTGTAAATATGAAGTAGCTATTAGAACTGGAAAACTATCGATGGCACTATCGATAGTATCGATGGTTTTTGACTATCCAAACCATCGATGGTTTTGTAAGCACTATCGATCATTTTCACTCATACATACATTATTCACTAAAACTATGTTTCCACGATAAGTGATTCGCTCTCTCATTCGTAATTCGCTCTCTCATTCGTGATTGCCGTCCGAACCAAATTACGTAATTCGCCATACAAAATTTTGAGAGCGAATCACTTCATTCGTAGGTTATTCAGATCCAATCACCATGCGAATCAAGAACAAATCGTTGTCTTCTCTAATTTTTATCGACAACGGCTGTAAACACATAGACCACACACATCCCACAAACATTGAAAAAATAGCTAGATTCGTTAAAACTATTGATTTAGCTAATTAGCCACCACACATTTTTTCTCCACCGTTAAAATGCACAATAAACAACACATTAAACAATAAACAAAAGCAAAGAACAAGAAGCAGAGATGCAAAGTTAGTCAGGAATGTGTCGTGTTGATTCGCCGTTCGTAATTGAGAGAGCGAACCACGTGATTCGGTCGTCGTGGAAACACCCTTTAAGAGTAAAAGATGGCGGTACCTGTTTCATCTTGTGAGTCGGAAAAGACATTTAGCATAGCATGGCAAATAATTTCAGAGCGCAGATGCTGCTTAAAGCCAAAAATCGTTGATAAACTTTTTTTGTGTGTACATATTTTAGCAATTCTGATCTCATTTTCAATAAAAGTTGTTATGTTTAATTTTTGGACTTTTTTAATCGCAACTATCGATAGTGTCGACATTTTCGATAGTATCGATACTATCGATGGTTGTGACTATCGAAACTATCGATGGCCACGACTAGCGATAGTTTTCCAGCTCTAGTAGCTATGACTTACCGTTGATTATTGGCATTTTTTTTTTGTGGACGGTGCTCTGCTTTTTTTCCATATAAAAAAATTGTCGAACATACTTTGTATGAAAAAATGCTGTAGGTTCTCTCCTTTGTGTGACAACATCAAGGCGCATGCCACAAATGGGAGGAGAAGCTCGGCCAAACACTGACGTATTGTGTAAACGCCAATCCTTTATTATATGAAACGGTGCTACAAAAAAAAGTCATAAAATACACCCGAAACAAAACCTACCGCTATCGTCGAGCACAACATAAAAATAGGTTCCATATAGTTCCTGAAGCCTCTATTTTTATTTTATTTAAAAACAACCGTTATGTTCGTACTTGATGCAGGTATCTATTAGCATCTTGGCTACTTTTCATCCGATTAAAAAAAAAATTTAGAAATTAAAGAAACAAATATTAATATAAAAATAGTCACAACCAACATTAAACATGGGGAAAATTTACTGAAAAGCAGACTTATGGAAGTAGAATACAAGAAAATAATAGAAAATCAGAAACAATTTTCTAATAAAGTTTCAATAGACACGCAGAAACTACATGAGAAAAAATTAGATGAGCAAATATCAAAAAATATAACAAAATTTGGCATAAGATTTAATGAGGATTGGTTTATAAATAAAACAGATATTCCCATGTCTAAGTATTCCCGTTGGCTACTGTCACTTGGAGGCAAATTCGCATTGCCGGTGTCTAAGAAAACATTTTCCCCGATTCCCATAATTGCCGACTTAGAGCAAGGCATACAAGATATTACTGACGAAAGGGAAAAAGATGCAACAAGAAGCAATATCTCTGCAAGAATCAATACATTCTACGAAAGAAAAATTTATATTGAAAACGTATGCAGACACCAGAAAATTTATAGGTCAACACAAGGAAGAAATAATAATAACACAAGCAGATAAAGGAAATAAAACGGTAATGATCTACAAAAAGGATTACGAAGATAGAATGAGGGAATTACTGAATGACAAAACAACATACAAAACCATAAGAAGTGATCCTACCCAACAATTATTGAGGAAAAACAACAATATAGTAAACGACTTATTCAAGCAGAAAAAAATTGACGTAAAACAAAAATTCCACTTGACATGCACAGCAGCTAATGCTCCTAGATTATACGGACTACCCAAAATTCATAAAACCGGTACACCTCTCCGACCAATATCCTCGTCTACAAATGTTCCCTGCTACAAATTATCGAAGTTTATTGGCAACATTTTAAAAAACATAATCTCTGACGAATATAATATAAGAAATTCCTATCAACTGAAGGAAAATCTAAAAAATATTACTATTGAAGAAGATGAAATTTTAATATCATTCGATGTCATATCACTATTTACGAATATCCCGATACATTTAGCCATACAGACAATTATGAAGAATTGGAAAAAATTAGAGAATTTTACAAACATTACACGAAAAGAATTTCATACCATACTCGAGTTTTGCTTACGGGATAACAATTACTTCAAATACAATACCACCCTTTATCAACAAATTTATGGCATGCCAATGGGTAACCCATTATCCCCTACCATAGCGGACATCGTACTTGACAAAATATTGGACGACAGCATAGCTGAACTTAAACAACACGACATACATATAAAATACATAATTAAATATGTAGACGATATGTCTGCAATAATTAAAGCAAAAGACGCGGAAGACATACTAAAAATATTAAATGCACAACATACAAAAATACAATTTACAGTCGAAAGGGGAAAAAACAAGAAAATTGCCTTCCTAGATGTAGAAGTGCATAAAAAGGGAAACCGAATTCTGCTGAACTGGTATGCAAAATCCATTGCTTCGGGGAGATTGATAAATTTTCATTCCAATCACCCATGGAAACAAAAAATAAACACCGCTGCCAGTCTTATTAGAAAAGTCCATCTGCTCAGCGACGAAGAATTTACAGAGCAAAACAACAAGAAAATAAAAAACATATTGCACAAAAACAGCTACCCGCACGCGTTAATTGAAAGATTATTACAAACAACAATAAAACAAATTCGCCAACCGAGCCAAAACAATGAAGTACAGCCAAACAACACTAACAAAAAATACATTGGGGTGACATACATACCAGGACTTACAAATAACCAAGTACTCCGAAAAACAATAAAAAATGAGAATGTGATATATGCACACAAGCCCCATAACACAATCAACAAATTGTTGACGAAAACCAAAGACAAGATCGAAAAGGAGCAACAACACAATGTAGTGTACCAAATAAAGTGCAAGGGCAATGATAACGAAAGCTGCAATAAATGCTACGTAGGCACAACAAAAAGAGCGTTGGGTATAAGAATCAATGAACACAGAGCGGACGCGAGAAACAAAAAGATGACAACAGCACTGGCTCAACACTTAACAACGCACGAACATATAGCGGACTTCGGCAACACAGAAATTTTGGACATCGAAAGAGGAGAAAGAAGGAGAATGACACTGGAGAGCCTACGAATACAACAACAATTGGACAACGCAATCAACTTTAAGGAAGACGTCGACAACACGAAGAACACATATGCAGCCGTACTAAAATTAAAATATAAATAAGAATACTTGAATAATTCATCCTAAATGTTGTATTACTTTCAATGTGTGCAAATTAATGTAAAATTCTTGTCAATATTTAATGTGAGTTTCAAGTGATATTATGTGTGTAGATAATTAGGGTTAAGTATACATGTACATATGTAACTATTGTTTTGTATATATGTATGTATGTATGCAACTATTATTATGTTTTTGTTAATCATGGTTTTCGTTCGTTCTTCATGTTTATTGTTTATCGTTCAAATAAAACAGACTCCCTGAAGATGACACGAGAGTGTCGAAACGCGTAGGAGGGACAAGGGAAAAATATAAGCATTTCGCCTTTTACTCCATCGGCCAAAGCAGCTCCAACCCAGCAAACTAAAAAAAAAGATGTTTCGAAAAGAGGATTTGTAGACCTTTAAAATGATGTATAACAATATATTGTTAGACTTAGTTTGTGGGGAGCTTCAATCGGATTTATTTTAATAAGCCACTATTTTTCTGAACTTTTTCACCTTCACCATCGCTGATTTAAAAAATGTCTATGAAAATTGCCAAATATGTAGCATTCGGTTAAAAGAACATTTATTTTCGAATAAATTGATACCTAACCTAATGCGGTTGCATAAAAAATGTAGAAGTTAAGCAATTTAAGCAGAAATACTGCCTTGAATTTACTATACATATATCGTCGCCTTAGAGTGTAAACCTGCTAACGACCAAAAAAAATATTTTACTGTAGAGGCAAAAAACTAAATATATCTTTAACTCTTAGTCTGAAGGGCAAATCCTACATATAGTTTGCTAATCGCGCGACGTTCTATGGCCCTAATCCAGAACGAATGAAACAAATTACGTTTTTATGGTTTTATTGGCAAATTTCTAACTTAGCAGCTTTTAGTTTTTGTATTTTCAAAACTGAAGTGGATTTAGCAGGTTTTTTGTATGAATAAAATTGTTTCTATTTTATTTTTTTGTGATTACGAGCTCAATTTAAATGTTAATTAAAATAGTATTCCACAGATACAAACAATTATATATATATAAAAAAATACAGCAGATTTATTCTTCCGTTTATTGCAACAAAAATAGGCAGTTTATAAAACATATATTAGTAACTATAAGTGAAGTATTCCTCTTTCAAATTAATAGTACAAAGACCACATATAAGATAATTTAAGTAGGAACTCAATAATGCCAGAAAGTATGATCCATATTATTCAATCATGAGGTAAAGTGTTATAGTAGGCGTGGTAATCTTCAGGAAGTAATCGTTTGAAATACTGGAGATCTCATACTTTCTGCGAGCAATCGTACGCCTACTCTCGTATAAATTCGGAAGGTGAGAAAACGGCAAGGAAACAGCTACTGGGGATTTTTTTGCGGTATTACTTCCCATTCGTTGGAGAATCTTAGTTTGAAATGTGTCGCCACTTGGTGTATACAGTAGGGCTCGTATATCAGTTACTTTAGCAGCATCTTTGCCGCGACCGGGTAGAATGCTATTAAAGAATTGAACTGTGTTAAGGCTTTTAAAGAACGTGTAACTAAGATAAGTTTCGTCATATGGTTTTGGATTTTTTCTAGCTGATCTACATACTTCAAAGTATTCTGCAAGAACATGGATATCTCTTTTCTTAAGTGCTCGTTCGATAGTGGAATGGATACAATCAGCTTCCATTTGGGTATGGCCTATTTCAAGAAACTTTTGCTCAATAATGACATTGTTATTTATAGCTGTGGATAACAAAGCATTAGCCATAATACTGTTTCGGTTTTGATATGTGCATTCGTCGCTATAAAAAATTACTGTAATTGGCTCCCCGGAACTATTATTTGGTACAACATTTTTTTCTATCAAATCTACCCACACGCTGGAAAACTCTTCTGCATTTAATCTTCCTTATGTTTCGTTCCAGAAGTAACAATAATTTTCTTGAGATATAAAAAATTAAAGCTTATTCGTTGGCTATCAACTTGGCTTAAACGCTNTCGCCTACTCCTTCGAACTGCATCAAAAGGTCAATTTTGCCAAAAAACGGATTTAGCAGGTTAACACTCTAAGCCGATGATATGTGTATGTACCGGACTTTCAGATTTTTTGAGCAGTGTGACTAAGGAATTAATCAATATTTACAATTATATTTTATATAATTTTTGACAATTATATTTTTATATTGGCGTATTTTTTTTTGCTTGCCAACTGCGGAATCGCCTACTCCTTCGAACTGCATCAAAAGGTCAATTTTGCCAAAAAACGGATTTAGCAGGTTAACACTCTAAGCCGATGATATGTGTATGTACCGGACTTTCAGATTTTTTGAGCAGTGTGACTAAGGAATTAATCAATATTTACTCAAATTTGATATATACCATGGTTCATTGGATGGAAAATGAGTGTGGATGGAATAAAAATGGGTGCGGCGCTGACCACTTATATCATTTATGTATAACTCAAAAACTACCGATCTCGACCAAATGTGACGAACAAAAGTATTGGCACAGTGAATTTTTCGCAATATATGCAAAGTTTTTTATCATAATTTATTTTCGATAATTTTTTATAAAAATAAAATCTCTAAACTTTGTGCAAAACTCAGGAAAATTCATTAAATTTGCACACTAATTTGCAACTCTTTATTCAGATTTTGTAGAAAAATTTCAAGTATGCAGTTTTATAGTCCATTCAATTTTAGTAAATGCAAGTTTAACCCTAGAACACACACCCGGGTACAAATGTATCCACTTTCAACTTTGGAGTGTTGTAACTTTTGAACCGCTATACCTCTATACNCAGGTTAACACTCTAAGCCGATGATATGTGTATGTACCGGACTTTCAGATTTTTTGAGCAGTGTGACTAAGGAATTAATCAATATTTACAATTATATTTTATATAATTTTTGACAATTATATTTTTATATTGGCGTATTTTTTTTTGCTTGCCAACTGCGGAATCGCCTACTCCTTCGAACTGCATCAAAAGGTCAATTTTGCCAAAAAACGGATTTAGCAGGTTAACACTCTAAGCCGATGATATGTGTATGTACCGGACTTTCAGATTTTTTGAGCAGTGTGACTAAGGAATTAATCAATATTTACAATTATATTTTATATAATTTTTGACAATTATATTTTTATATTGGCGTATTTTTTTTTGCTTGCCAACTGCGGAATCGCCTACTCCTTCGAACTGCATCAAAAGGTCAATTTTGCCAAAAAACGGATTTAGCAGGTTAACACTCTAAGCCGATGATATGTGTATGTACCGGACTTTCAGATTTTTTGAGCAGTGTGACTAAGGAATTAATCAATATTTACTCAAATTTGATATATACCATGGTTCATTGGATGGAAAATGAGTGTGGATGGAATAAAAATGGGTGCGGCGCTGACCACTTATATCATTTATGTATAACTCAAAAACTACCGATCTCGACCAAATGTGACGAACAAAAGTATTGGCACAGTGAATTTTTCGCAATATATGCAAAGTTTTTTATCATAATTTATTTTCGATAATTTTTTATAAAAATAAAATCTCTAAACTTTGTGCAAAACTCAGGAAAATTCATTAAATTTGCACACTAATTTGCAACTCTTTATTCAGATTTTGTAGAAAAATTTCAAGTATGCAGTTTTATAGTCCATTCAATTTTAGTAAATGCAAGTTTAACCCTAGAACACACACCCGGGTACAAATGTATCCACTTTCAACTTTGGAGTGTTGTAACTTTTGAACCGCTATACCTCTATACCCGGATCTAGGAAGATTATTTAGTTTTGAGTTCAAATTCAAAATTTGAACCAGATCGGACCATTGGTTCAGGAGCTACAGCCTTCCAAACACATTATATACGTAAACACACACCCGGGATACGTTTGTACCCCAATAGTAAAAATCCTCATAATAATAAAAAAAA